AAGCAGCCAACAAGTGCTCAGCATATGTGGGAACTCCTTAAAGACTGTTGGAAAAGCATTCCAGGTGAAGCTGGTTGAGAGAATGCCAAGAGTGTGCAAAGCTGTCATCAAGGCAAAGGGTGGCTATTTGAAGAATCTCAAAATAAAATATATTTTGATTTGTTTAACACTTTTGTGGTTACTACATGATTCCATATGTGTTATTTCATAGTTTGATGTCTTCACCATTAATCTACAATGTAGAAAATAGTAAAAATAAAGAAAAACCCTTGAATGAGTAAGTGTGTCCAAACTTTTGACTGGTACTGTATATTTCAAATCAAAAATCTTCATAAGGGACACAATCATAACAGGCGTTGGATTAGCGTGTTTGTAAGGTGTTCTAGTTTTAAAAATCATGTCAGATTGAATTATTTTGTGCGGAACATCCTTTTAACTAGAAGTGGCTCTCTGCTGGCATGAAATGTGGTGTATTCAGAATCAGACTGCTTAAAACACTGAATATCACACAAATTCCCTGAATCCTACTGTTCCAGTTTCTTATCATCCTGAATAATAAAATAGAGAAATTCACCTCCTGGATTCCCAGATCAGCAGACATCTAATGTCAGTTTGACACTGGTGCTGCTCTGCTCTCTACAGCTTGGGGACTAAGCTAGGGGCCTGATGAGGGCCCTTCCATATTAAACAGGCAGATTAGACACCTTAAACGGAGGGCAGCCTGGAGAGGTGCTGTTACCGAGACCTCCGGGGTCCTGCTGCCTCTCATCAGGCAGGTACGGTAGTACGGTCACACACAGGCACACACACACAGGCACACACACACACAGAACATGGGCCACAGGAACGAAACCTCTCCTCTCTCCCCCACTGCCTGCTTTGCCTCACTGTCTTCCTCTCTTCACTGACCTCTTAGTCTGCCAGCGTCTGCTGCTGCGGTAATGCTACCACCATTCCCATCATGCACAGGGGCATACGAGCTCCCATGAGTCCCCACACCGCTCCCTGCCATCTGCCGTGATTTATAGAAAATGGCCGATGATTTATGGCCTAGTCATCTCACAATGAAGTTGTTTTCTTTCATTATGGCGACCTCCCGACCCAGCCGCCACTCCCCTGCCTGCTTGGGGAAATGTGTGCTAATCATACACCATAAAGATCTTTAAACAGAAGGGGGTTGGCCGGGGCAGTGGAAATGGAGGGGGCTTTAATAAAATTAATTTTCAACAGCGTGTGAATACTAATAGAGCTGAGTAGAGCAGACCTTGGTGGTGGCGTGTCAGAGATGAGACGTGGCCACCGCAGAGAGATCCCTACCCTAATGAGACTGTTTCAGGGTACCAGGGACGGTAGAGACTAGGTAGCTGCCTGACAGGCCATGCACTGTAGCTACTGCGCCTTTTCTCCTTCAGCTTTGATCTCTAAATGAAAAGGACCTTTTGGAGTCTTGGGTGATCCAGAGGAGTTCAAAGATTCATGCCTAGTTAGAGCTTGTAAACCTGGATGTCTCAGTAGGTCACACATTTGCCCCAATGTTAATTTAATCATATGCTACTGATTGTAACAAACAATACAGGGATTCCACTTCAACGCTGGCCTGCCTACTAACACTTTGTTTTTGATCCTTAATGATGCAGGTGGTGACAGTGTTTTTCCACTCTTTATTGGTGAGCCTTCAGATGACCGGAGAACGCACACAGACCAAGGATGTTGCAGTGACAAATGAGCGTCTGCGGTCTTATTGCTGATTCACCACATCCTAAGCGTAATGGCCTGTGCCCTCTATCCTATCGCTGATCAGGGAAGGCTACTGTTCACCCATGAGCCCATAAGAGCAGCAGGACAACTAATAACTGTTCAATTCAACTTTCAGTTTGCTTCCTCTAAGATAGCCTACTTTTGCAGCCCAAATTATTTCCAAAAAGATATATTAAAGCAATACACAGAGGATGCTATTCCTCTCAAGAAAATGCAAAGAGCGCCATCTGCTGCTCTTCCCATGTCCTGCAGAATATTTTTTCTCCCACAATCGAGAAAATACTGTATATCTGCTCTCAATTTATACTTCAAATATACAACATATGTGATGACATGCTTAGGACAGTGACAGAAGTTGGTTTATTTCAAGTTTCAATTTCAACTAATTCTATCACAGGAGAAAGAAGTGAACAAAACATGAAATATGTACAGTTGTCATAATACACAGAAAATATAACAGACTGTATATAAATATAAGTATGTGAGGGATAAAACAATAACTGAAGCTAAACAAAAGAAGCATGCATTGTAAGTGGTTCACAAGGAACAGAACAGCCAAGCCAATATTACATCTGTGGAAAATACTGCCATTACACTATTGGCTTTATTTACAGCAGCCTTGGGATACATCCCAAATGGAACCTTATTCCCTATATAGGGCACTACTTTTGACCGGGTCCCATAAGGCTCTGGTCAAAAGTAATGCACTAGGTAGGGAATAGGGTGCCGCTTGGGACATAACCTTGGTCTTCCAACGCAACACATTTCCTGTATCATTCATGACATATAATACAGTATTTCGAAATGGGGGCAAAAAGACCAATTCAAAAGCAGTATTCATAAGCTATTAGTATGGATTAATATTGCCAGGTATACTGTAAAAAAAAAAAAGAAGGCACAAGCAAATACACGCTCAAGATACATGGCTTGAGGAGAATAGGGTTTGGTTTTTGATACAGGCCAATGTGTGCACACAGCATTCAGTCACAGTATAGTATACCATGTTTGGTCTGCTAAATCAGCCCTAGCTTGGTAGCTGTGATGGATATCAATAGTGTGTGTGTGTGTGTGTGTGTGTGTTATATAATACAAGCTGACCAGACATTCATAGATTAGAAGCAACGTCTCTTCAACATAAAGTCAGAGTTGGGAATGTTAGATAATCATTGAGGTTGCTGGGTATAATATGCATGTCCCCTCTCATGCAAATGAGGTCTCTCTGACTCTCTTTTTATAACGAGTTTGTCAATCAATGATTAAAAGTACTGTACAAAACACTCATTTTGAGTTTCATTTTTGATTCAATTGCAACAGGCAGGTCTAACAAAAGAAATACTGCGTTTGTATTTGACAACATTTTGGACTTGGACATAGCCAATGTTCCATCCAGTCCAGAGCTGATAAAATTGCTATGAGTTCTCACATTTGAGAAAAAAGAAACATTGTGCACTGTTACAGTACATTTAACAGTTAATGTAGTGAAACTCTACTACAGAAACAGTAAGGCCCGATAGTGTTCTCAGTAACACGTCACCCTTATCTTGACTTTTAACAGGGTTGGGCTCAATTCATTTCAAACAAATCAGGAAGTAAACTGAAATTCCAATTTCATTTTTATCCCCATAGACAAGCATTGAGGAAAATTGGAAATTTGAATTTCTGAATGGATTGAATTGAAATGGAGTTAACCCCAACTCTGAATTCTAGTTCTAATCGAAACAACTGTACCTTTAACATTCATAATAAGTACAGTAAAATACATAAGGTTTAACGCCATGATTAGTATTTCTAAAGCAGCAGTAACATTTCATAGGTGCACTTAAAAATGACATCTGTACATTTCAAATAAGGATGGTTAACTTACAATGGTAATTTACAGTGCTTTGACAAAAAAGTTCATCCAAGTAGTTGGATTTTTTGTTACTAATTAATTATTGCTGGATTCAATTCAAAAGACCAAACTTCTTATTTCTTATTTTTTGCCTCCTATGTCTTTAAATTGTAAAGATTTATTTTCGAGCACTTGCACTTAAAATGTCCTTAGATTATCGACTAATATGTCAGATTGTCAAGGTCTTTCTAGTATATGACGAATAGGTATTGCCCATATTTTGCTTTTAGACAAAATATTTCACATTTGAAAGTTCTAGGACTCTTCATTGCGATTTTACATTACAAGAATACTTCAGATCCCAGTAGTTTTGAATCTCATTACAACATGCCTACATTTTTTTGCACAAAAACAGCAGACTCAACCTCCACCAACTCAACCAATAATTCCCCTTTCATAATTACGTATGAAGGGTGATATTGTGATCCTTGTGAAAAGGGAAAATATTCCTTCACCAGTTGCTGGGCCCAAACCACAGTCAACACAGGCGTTACACACATAGGTTACACACATAGGCAATTTACAGAGGCTTATTCAACCCAGCTTTTCACTGCATTTACTAATCATTGGCCAGCCAAATGATCTTCTCCCACTAATGGAAATGAAAGTTTTTTAGATTCTCACTAACTGAGAAATTCTACCTCTTCACAAGGATTATTCTTTAAATACAGGCTTAAAAACATAGCATCGCCACTAAGAACAAATTCTTCAGACGGCAAATACTATGGAACAATTACTATCGAAACCGCCATTTTAAAATGGCCTCTTTACAAATGACTAAACACGTTTCCAAATAGGCCTATCTATCCATTGCGAGAAGGAACACTAGAGACAATGAGGCAGTAGCGTACAGAGCAACACTCTGCTTCCATCAACATTAAAACCTTTCAGACGGTTTATAAAGGATTCAGGTTTCATTCAAAGCTCTTTACATTCATTTGACTAGGTGTGAAGTAGTGTCGCATTCAAATCGTAATAAAATATGTGGAATTAAAGTATTTACAAGACGACAAAACAGAAGGAAATAAAATACTGATTGCAACAGGCATAGGGTTTCCCAACAAGGAACAACCTACAGCCTTTATTAAAATACATTAAAACCACAAGGAGGTCTGGAAAGAAAGATTGAGGCACAACTGTTTCCCTATCTGGGTCGCGTTCATTAGGGCACACCATGGAAAATATTTCCAGACGGTAAAAATAAAAGAAATTTAGTTTCTTAATGGACCAGTAGTCCAGGTAGTCCCTTCCTGTTTCAGTCTGTTTTGCACCGTTTGGTGCCCTATGAACACAACGCTGTACTGTATGTACCTGCACACACATGGATGGAGCCGGAGGGCCATGTTCATTAGTATGAGGAGATGTCTGAGGAGCTGCTGCTGTTGCTGGTGGACGTCTGGGCTCTCTTTATGTACAAGTTCAGCAGCTTCATCTAGTGGGATAGTAAAGACGCTGAATGAAACCAACACATCCCAACATGACGTTTCAAGATAATGAAAAACATTCTGCAACCTGTAGATCTTGAACAAAAGAGAAGGAATTAAAGACATTGTCTGCGTCCGAAATGGCACCCTATTTCCTAGTGCACTACGTAGGGAATAGGTTGCCATTTGAGACTGACCCAGACAGGGTGTCGAGATGAGATGGTAGTGTACCTTGCTTCCTGTGAGCTGGGCCAGGTAGGGCTTCAACTCTTCGCCGATGACAGAGTAGACAGCCACCAGACAGAACACGCTGGCCTTTCTCACACTGCTCTCTGTGTTGTCATACCCCTGTACACACAAAGACATCAGAACATTATTAGACATACACTGAGCATACCAAACATTAGGAACACCTTCCCTGCCCTCAGAACAGCCTCAATTCGTCTGGACATGGACTCTATAATGTGTCGAAAGCCTTCCAGAGGGATGCTTGCCCATGGCTGACTCCAATGCTCCCCACAGTTGTGTCAAGTTGGCTAGATGTCCTTTGGGTGGTGGACCATTCTTGATACACATGGGAAACTGTTGAGCGTGAAAAACCCAGCAGCGTTGCAGTTCTTGAAACAAACCGGTGAGCCTGGCACCTACTACCATACCCCATTCAAAGGCACTTAAATATTTTGTCTTGCCCATTCACCCTCTGAATGGCACACATACACAATCCATGTCTCAATTGTCTCAAGGCTTAAAAATCATTCTTTAACCTGTCTCCTCCCCTTCATCTACACTGACTGAAGTGGATTTAACAAGTGACATCAATAAGGGATCATAGCTTTCACCTGGTCAGTCTATGTCATGGAAAGAACAGGTGTTCTTAATGTTTTGTATATACTCAGTGTTTAGACAGTGTGGCATAATCCCATGGACAGAAAGTAATCATCTTACGTAACTAAACCCCAAGCATCAACACTGTACTGGAAGTAGATACATTTCAAGTGCTTCTATTTGAAGTAGATACATTTAAAGTGCTTCTACATCAACCAATCAGTAAGTACATCAATAAATCAACCAATGGACCAACCAATCATTCAACTTGATCTATAAAGGCCCTTTTTACCTGCAGTAGTCCTGGTATGATGTCAGGCAGCAGCTGGTGGAGGGACTCCTTGGTGATGCGTTCGATCACCTTGGTCTGCATCTTGATGGAAGCCAGGTTGATGGGGTAGTCAGCCGTCTGGACGATGGGACACAGCACCTTGATACACTGTTCTGGGTGGATGGAGCCGGCCAGGGTGGAGGCTGACTCCTCTGCTGCTCGCACAACCTGGGTAGAGAGGGAAGGGTGGAGTGAGGAGGGTGAAATGGGTGATAATGGAATGGGTTCATTTTGGTTTATTGGCAGAGCAGGGTACATGTACATCCACAGGCAAGACTACACTTCATCCCGATAGTCTTTTCATCATTTTATTTCGAGAGCTATCAACTCCATAAAAAAACGAACACATCATCACACAGAGTTGAAAGCTATTCATTCAAGAAGTGCAGACTTAGCATGTCCTCTAAAGCAGAGCCTCATAGACAGACAGACAGCCAATGAGAGCTACCTCTTTGTGGGAGTCTTTGTGTGCCTCCAGGGTCTTCATGATGGTGAGTTCTGCATAGTTCTTGAAGCGGGCCGGCTGGTTACGTAAGATCTCCTTCAGCACCCGTAGCGCCAGGGCCCGGATGGTGTGCTGCAGGTTGAGGGAAAAGGACACAACATGCTCAGAACCAACAAGTCAGACAGTGGAAGGAAAAACAATGGATTCAAGCATCAGATTTTGGCATTGCTCCCAGGACAGAGTTTACATTTACATTTACATTTTAGTCATTTAGCAGACGCTCTTATCCAGAGCGACTTACAGGAGCATTTAGGGTTAAGTGCCTTGCTTAAGGGCACATCGACAGATTTTTCACCTAGTCGGCCCGGGGATTAGAACCAGCGACCTTTCGGTTACTGGCACAACGCTCTTACCCACTAAGCTACCTGCCGCCCTGTTGATTGTTGTTTTGAAAGTATTTTTTCTTCCTATCTATCTCTCCATCCATCCATCCATCCATCCATTCCTCCAGAGTCCTTACATCTTGATCTGACAGGGTCTCCAGCAGCAGTAGCAGCATGGTTTTGAAGTGTTCCTCCCACACTGCCAGGCTGTCCTCCCGGGCTATCTTCAGCAGCTCCACCAGGGCTCCCCTCCTCTCCTCTGGCCTCTCACTGGGCTTCGACAGCTCCTTCAGCAGCTCACCCACCTTTCAATGACCACAATAGATATTAGTCAGTGACCATAGAATTACATATAGATCACTAAATGGAATTGAATAGGATCTCCATGTCCGTGACTTTATAGTGTTATTATGTAGCTATAGTAAAAAAATAAAAAGTCAAATAAATTCTATCAATCACCAGTTCCAGTTGCTCCGCAGGGGAACTGTGCTTGGTGTGCAGCATCTTGTTTTCTGCACCACACTCTTGGCGGCCTGCGAGGAAGAGGGGTGAGAGGGGGGGAGTCTTCCTTACAGCTGATATATAGCCTATTATAAACTGGGTGGTTCGAGCCCTGAATGCTGATTGGCTGGCAGCCATGGTATATCAGACCGTATACCACGGGTATGACAAAACATTTATTTTTACTGCTCTAATTACTTTGGTAACCAGTTTATAATAGCAATAAGGCACCTTGGGGGTTTGTGGTATATGGCAAATATACAATGGCTAAGGGCTGTATCCAGGGACTCCGTGTTGCATCTTGCGTAAGAACAGCCCTTAGCCGTGGTATATTGGCCATATATTACACCCGGGCCTTATTGCTTAAATGTATTATGACCATCCAAAATGGCACCCTATTCCCTATATAGCACACTACTTTTGACCAGAGCTATGTAAGGAACAGGGTGGTCAAAAGTAGTGCACTATATAGGGAATAGGGTGCCATTTCAGACCCTTGAGACAGCCTCACCATCTGGAAGCTGCTCCACGTCGTCCTCATACACCGTCTCTCTCAGGGCAGCCTTGTCGTAGGCGCTGATGGTGTCTGTGTAGTTGTAGGGGTTGTAGTCACGGCACCGGGGGCCGGAGAAGGAACGGGGGGAGGGGGTGTTGAGTAGGGAGGTCTTGTTGTCCAGAGCCGTGCGACCCCCGGGCCCCTCCACCACGTCAACACCAGAGTCTGATGCTGCTCCAACACCCGGCTGAGGAGAAACAAGACTATTGATATAACGTAACGTAACAACCATACAGTCTTATACATGTCAAAAATAACAAATGTATGCATGTCCATGTCTATTCTAGAGAAAATAAATATATTGACCAAAGAGAACAGTAGCCAAACAAGTGCACTCGTTCACTCCCCCCTCTGGATTTAAAAGTGCTGTTGGAAGATACTCCCTCTAGTCCATTCTAACACCAATCCAAGTCTTTTAAATCAATGAGGGGGAGTGAGTGAGTGAGTGAGTGAGTGAGTGAGTGAGTGAGTGAGTGAGTGAGTGAGTGAGTGGAGAATAGTAGGGAATTGCCAAAGCCCCTCACCGTGTCCTCTCTCTTGCCTCTGCCTGGCTCCATGAGGTCCTCCTGACTGCGGAAGCTGAAGTTCTGGATGGCCTCAGTGACGCCTCGCAGGGAGCTATAGATCTCATCAGTGTTCAGGTTCTCTGTGTCGTACTCCAACATGCTTCAGGTCACACCGGGAGGGGAGGGTTATTATACAAGTACGACACTAACATACACATACAACAACACCACAGGAAAAAGACGTCTGCCCGGTGGGCAAAAGCAGGAAAAAACTGGTTGAAACAACGTCATTTTATTTACCTAGTATGTAAAGATGTCATTTCAAGCAGTTTATCCCGCTATTCCTTTTCATATAAAAGATCAACCATGCATAACAGTACGTGTTGACAGAGACAGAGTGGAACAGACTGGTGAGTCAAGCTGTTAATGTGGTGAATCCTCTGAAAAGTGGCCACATGAGAGCACAGATTGCTGCTGCGGAATGAACAAAAGTGAAAACGATATTATAACCGCGATTGATAATAGACAGTACTGTGCAGCCGTCTTCATCGACCTGGCCAAGGCTTTCGACTCTGTCAACCACCGCATTCTTATTGGCAGACTAAATAGCCTTGGTTTCTCAAATGACTGCCTCGCCTGGTTCACCAACTACTTCTCAGATAGAGTTCAGTGTGTCAAATCGGAGTGCCTGTTGTCTGGACCTATGGCAGTCTCTATGGGGGTGCCACAGGGTTCAATTCTTGGGCCGACACTTTTCTCCGTGTATATCAATGATGTCGCTCTTGCTGCTGGTGACTCTCAGATCCACCTCTACGCAGACGACACCATTTTGTATACATCTGGCCCTTCATTGGACACTGTGTTAACAAACCTCCAAACGAGCTTCAATGCCATACAACAATCCTTCAGTAGCCTCCAACTGCTCTTAAACACTAGTAAAACTAAATGCATGCTTTTCAATCGAACGCTGCTGGCACCCGCCCACCCGACTAGAATCACCACTCTCGACGGGTCTGACCTAGAGTATGTGGACAACTACAAATACCTAGGTGTCTGGTTAGACTGTAAACTCAACTTCCAGACTCACATAAAGAATCTCCAATCCAAAGTTAAATCTAGAATCGGCTTCCTATTTCGCAACAAAGCCTCCTTCACTCATGCTGCCAAACATGCCCTCGTAAAACTGACTATCCTACCGATCCTTGACTTCGGCGATGTCATTTACAAAATAGCCTCCAACACTCTACTCAGCAAATTGGATGTAGTCTATCACAGTGCCATCCGTTTTGTCTCCAAAGCCCCATACACTACCCACCACTGTGACCTGTACGCTCTTATTGGCTGGTCCTCACTACATGTTCGTCGTCAAACCCACTGGCTCCAGGCCATCTATAAATCACTGCTAGGCAAATCCCCGCCTTATCTTAGCTCATTGGTCACCATAGCAGCACCCACCCGTAGTCTGCGCTCCAGCAGGTATATCTCACTGGTCATTCCCAAAGCCAACACCTCCTTTGGCCGCAATTCCTTCCAGTTCTCTGCTGCCAATGACTGGAACGAATTGCAAAAATCTCTGAAGCTGGAGACTCTTATCTCCCTCAATAACTTTAAGCATCAGTTGTCAGAGCACCTTACCGATCACTGCACCTGTACACAGCCCATCTGAAATTAGCCCACCCAACTACCTCATCCCTATATTGTTATTTATTTTGCTCTTTTGCACCCCAGTATCTCTATTTGCACATAATCTCTTGCACATCTAGCATTCCAGTGTTAATACTATTGTAATTATTCTGCACTATAGCCTATTTATTGCCTTACCTCCATAACTTGCTACATTTGCACACACTGTATATATATTTTCTGTTTTATTTCTGACTTTATGTTTTTTACCCCATATGTAACTCTGTGTTGTTTTTATTGCACTACTTTGCTTTATCTTGGCCAGGTCGCAGTTGTAAATGAGAACCTGTTCTCAACTGGCTTACCTGGTTAAATAAAGGTGAAAAAAAAAAAGGAAAAAAAAAAAAGGAAAAACAAAGAGACTGTGGGGTAGGGACAAATCAAAAAGGTGACACAGCCATGTGACATTGTACCTGGGAGAGTAAGCACTTCGTAGGGTCTTGAGGGAGGGGGCAGCAGGGGTGGAGGAGAGAGGAGAAGGGAAGGGAGGGGGGTACTTCGACAGGCCATCAGCACTCCAGCCCCATAGCCGACTGTAATGTACCCAGAGCACGGCGAGGGAGGGAGGGAAGGAGGGCGGGAGGGAAGGAGGGAGGGAGGGAGGGAGGGAGGGAGGGAGGGAGGGAGGGAGGGAGGGAGGGAGGGAAAGAAAAGGGGGAATAGAGTCGCGAGGGAGAAAAAGAGAGATGTGAGAAGGGAACGGAGCAGAGCGGGGACGGGGGACTACTTGTTGTCATTGTTAGTTAAGTTAGTAGTGATGTAACTAACTTCTATGGTGTGTTGGGGACCAGGTATTAAAGGTTATGTTAGACCTACTTGGGAGAGAGCCCCCCATGGGAGCAGTTGGTGGGAGAGGTGAGGGGGCTGCTGCGACTGCTGGGGTGGCGAGCTGGGGGAGGAGTCCGTCCCATGGTGTTACTGGGAGAAGCCTGCGGATCACACAGAATTGGAGCAGTTACAGTACATTATAAACTGGGTGGTTCAAGCCCTGAATGCTGATTGGCTGACAGCCGTGGTATATCAGACCGTATACTACAGGTATGACAAAACATTTATTTTTACTGTTCTAATTAAGTTGGTAACCAGTTTATAATAGCAATAAGGCACCTCAGGGTTTGTGATAATATGGCCAATATGGCACGGCTAAGGGCTGAATTCAGGCACTCTGAGAACAGCCCTTAGCCGTGCCATATACCACACCTCCTCGGGCCTTATTGCTTAATTATATGATGCAATCCCAGTATGTTTAGATTACAATACAACTTTATTGTCCATGTTACAGCGAACAAAGTTTAGGTTGTTGGCTAACGGTGCCAGTGAGAAGATAGTCAGCGCATTCGAGAGGATCTTCCTGAGCAAATTCAATATTCTTGTTCTGTGTAAACTCACTACTCATCTTCTCATGATGAGTGGATCTTTGGAATACAGCGATAGTCAGGTCTTACCACTCCGGTGTTGCTGGAGTTCCGGAGATGGTTATGCAGCAGTTTAGTGGCTCCGTCCTGGAAGGTCTTGGGCAGGGCCCCCAGCAGCATGGTGAACTCTGGGGTGTTCAGCTCAAACAAGGCGATCAGAACCACCTGGGCTGCCTGGGTTTTAAAGGGTCACAGAGAGGTCAATTGTTAGTGGTCATCAAAGAGGGCGTTCACTTTTTCCATTAACATTGATGTATGATATCACGCAATAATGAAGTGCATTTCAAGGGAATATTTGGCCCTTAGAGAAGAGACGGAACATTCAACAAGCCCATTCTGCTCTTACGTAACCATGAGTCACATCGGTCAATGTATTTACAAATACATGATCCAAATACATTGCACAGAAATACAGTAGCACATATTTGTTTAGGTTCAGTTAGCATTCAGTTAGTCAGGCGAGTTAAAACCACATTGTCAGTTCTTGTAAACCAGTTAAAAACCAGCATCACAATGCTCGCGTATGAATTCCATGCATGTTGGTCAACCAAACCTGTCACTGCAGATAAACAAGACAAGAACCATGAGTAATAAGTAGCAGCAGCAGTAGGATATTATGAAAATGAAATACTACCGCACATTCAGAGCAATTCTGTTGCCCATTCCCACCCCATTGCTTAAAGGGGCAATCTGCAGTTGCTACATACATGTTTTGACTTATAAGTTAATTATATGTACCCATTGATTGTTGAAGATTATAACTTATAAATGCCTCATGAGCTTAGTTCAACTGTTGTACCCCCATCAGAATCCCAAATAAAAGCTTGTTTTACTCCACTGTTTGTAAACAAAGTAAATGTAAACAAACACGGTATAGCCTCAAAACATGGTTAAAACTATAATTTTGATATCATGGCTGGTCAAGTCCTTGCATCCCTAGCTCGGTCTATGAATTTGAGAGTGGTTACATTTCTCCAGCCCCATCTCTCAGCTTTTTAGCGAAACAGTGGTGGGGTCGACACCTTGTTATCATTTCAACTGCTGATTGCTGCTTTAATATTCACTCATTATGAAGAACCCTTTGAAAGCAGAAACAACTGTTATGGCTCATTCAGAGCCATTTCAGTCCCCATTCCCACCCCTGCACTGTCACAGTTATAAAGCAGAAACAACTCTGTGTCTGCCAGCAAGGCGAAGTTGTGTTAGAGACAGAGAGCCCAGGCTTGGGGAGGTTATGTGAGGCAGACTGCAGACCGAGCAGCTGACTGATGGGACTCTACTACCTGCTTGCACCTCTCCTCCACGTTCCCCTCTCCAGGTAGAGAGGCTACGGTGGTGCTGGGCCTGCCTGACAACTCCTCACCCGCCCAGCTATGGAGGAAGCTCTGGGGTTGGGGGTCGACCGACGGGTAGGGTGGGGAAATGATCAGTTTAAAATACTCAAATAAAATCAACCAAAAAGGGATGAAGCCGGCAAACAATAGTTATTTGAAAATTAGCCGGTTAAATCTGGCACGTTTACAGAAATGCTGATTAATGTGCATTGTCCCTGTGAAATATAAAGTCAATTAAAATGAAGTGTCTGACGTTGTTGCTATGGAAACAAACAAACCCAACTCTACCCACCTTCCTGACGTCGGAGCTCTTTGGTTCCGTGGTCCAGGTGATGATGCGGGAGACGGCCAGGCGCGTCTCGCTGGAGTTGACAAAGTCTGCGGGGTCCATTTGACGGGCCAGGCACTCAATGTACCTCAGGATGGCCACCTTGACCTTCAGGTTGGGGGTCTGGGTCTGGTCTACGATGAAACGCATCAGGATGTTAAACTGCTGGTCGAACGGGAACGAGTCCCTGGGAAAGAGAGGAAAATCAAGAGAAATAGCCATGAGATGAGAGGGACTGATCCACTAGAAACTCCACAAACAGACAAAAGCACCATCTAAAGGCTTTTCACACTACCAAGCAGAACCAAACCAAGCTGTACTGAGCTGGCCAGGTTACACATCCACCACAGTTGGTGGAATCGTGCTGAAAAGCACAAAATGGGAGAAAAAAATACCTGTGTGAAAAGGGTAATAGAGATGGAGCTTTAGTTCTGACCTGGTGACGTCAAGAGCCTTCTGGACCTTGGCCTGTACAGACCCCAGGAGGTCAGCTCCCATCTTCTTCAGCAGCTGGGTGAGCAGGACAAACAGCCAGTCCTGCAGGTCCTCTCTGTGCAGGGTGATGAAGTCTACCAGGGTCTCCAGAAACATACTGAACACCTGAGACCAGACGGAGTGACCACACAGTCAGTCACTCAATAATAGGCTATACTGTACATATTTACTTCACTGTTAAGGAGTATTACAGTAGGACAACACAGAGTATCAATAATTAATCAATCAACTATCTGAATAGTTTGATTCAATTGCATTATTATTAAAAGGTGACGGACAAAAACACTTACTCGCTGATGTTATAAGTCCACCGCAAAGACCACCATGCGACACAGAAACAGACAGTTAGTACAGTAACTACATTAGCTTCCCGTCAGAACACAGGTTATATCAGACATGGGGGATTCTGTTGTGAGCTCACCTTGCTGTGTGGGTCAGCAAACATCCTTGTGAAGATCTCACACAATCTCTTCAGCTCCACACGACTGCAACACGTGAGCGGAAAAAAAGTAAGGCGATCAATCGCACAGCACCTTTTGGTTTCAGCAAGATTTCTATCTAAATTTAAATAAATTGGTTCATTTAGCAGACGCTCTTATCCAGAGCGACTTACAGGAGCAATTAGGGTTAAGTGCCTTGCTCAAGGGCACATCGACAGATTTTTCACCCAGTCGGCTCGGGGATTAGAACCAGCGACCTTTCGGTTACTGGCACAACGCTCTTAACCACGAAGCTACCTGCCGCTATCTAGAGCCCAGTTGTCTCAGTGACGGCCTCAAATACATTACAAAAGTTCAAAACAAAAATAGACGGTCTCCATCCCACCTGAGAATTCTCTGGCTCTTGAGCAGGTTCTGTAGTCCCAGCAGACCCTCCTTCCTCTCTGACCAGTTGGAACTGGCACAGTGGTTCAGCACCTCGGCCACGTCCTCCGTCTGTCTCATGTAGTGGGGCGGCCCGCCGTTCCGCGAGCCATACGACCGCTCAGAGCAGGCGCTGCTGGCGTCGCTGTTAGCGTCATCGTCTGAGTAGATCCCCGGGGACTCGTACCGCCGTCTGACTGGCCGCCGCTGAGGGGTCAAGGATCAGAGGTCAGATGGTCGTACAGGTACATATACAGTATACTCACTAAGTCATGCCACAGAGTGAAGACAAATCAATGACACTGTTACTGTTAAACAAACTACCATGTGACTACATTCGAGAGGCTAATAAGAGTCAAAATAGATGTTAATGATGAGGTTAACATCTACCTTGTTGTTCCTGGCGTCTCCTAGTAACAGGGCGTCGGCTACAGCTGCCTCCACCTCAGTTCCAGTGTTGAGGATCCTCATGGCGTTGACAGAGGCTGAGATACGGGCCTGGTGAGCCAGACCTAGACGCTCTGGAGGAGAAACAGAGAGGTTGAATAATACTTTTATAATAGTATTGTATAGGAGCACAGTAATACAGTATTACAAAGGAAAAACAGTCGACCTATTAACAAAATGGGGAGTAGAAGTCATGGTGGAAAAACAAATGAAGCAAATTTCATCAGCACGCCATGAGAAACTCAAGAGAAGATACAGGGTATAGCACAAAATAATAATATGATGAATTTAAGTTGTATTTTTACAGCACAGTATAAAAATCTGCCAATAAAAACAAAAGTGTACTAACAAAACAGAATGACACAAAAGAACACAGATTGACTTGAAAAGTAAGACGCATCCAAACTGAAATAAGGAGGATGCTCAGCTCTATGTCGCCCTCTGTGGGATTCTGAGGTGAACTGCACTATGGAACACTGACATGCTATTGTCTGTTTAATAGAAACATGCAGGACAGGTCACCTGAGTGGCCCACGGACTCAGCCGAGTGGAGAGCACTGGTGGAGCGGGAGACACGTCTGGACGCTAGAGGAGGAACACGGGAGGGAGTGGGGTGATACTTTATTTGGATAGTCCATCTACTAACCCTAACCCCTCTAACACTAACCCTTATCCTAATAATAATAATAATAATAATAATAATAATAATAATAATAAGCCATTTAGCAGACGCTTTTATCCAAAGCGACTTACAGTCATGCGTGCATACATTTTTGTGTATGGGTGGTCCCGGGGATCGAACCCACTACCTTGGCGTTACAAGCGCCGTGCTCTACCAGCTGAGCTACAGAGGACCACTAACCTTACACTTAACACTTATCCTAACCCTAAACTTAACCCTTACCCTAACGCTTATTCTAAACTTAACCGTAACCTTAGCAACCAGTTGCTTATCAACAGGTAGTATGACCAATCCGGACTATCCAAATAAAGTGTGACCAGGAGTGGATATCCCCACACGTAAAGTTTGACATACCTTTAAAAATAGTATCTTCTTCAACTCATACAGTACATGACTGTCAACCTGAGGAGGAGGCATTCTATCATGTGACAACGCTAACTGGCTTCATGCCAACATTAGCACCAAGAATGTTGAGCGGCATCCCGGGATTGGACACAAAGGCTCTGACCGCAAGTCAATAAGCTTACAGCGGACACAAGTTCAGCGTCAACTCATCCCTGTATTATGTCACATCCATGTCGTCAATGACTCTAGCATGATTAGTAAAAAATGGTTGTTGAGGAAAATGTTGTTGTCACTCACTTAGGAGTGAAAGGGGAAAATGTGAAAAGACACAAGTTAACGCATGCAGAAGATGGAAGCAGAAGAGGTTTGTTTCGGTTGGTTTTCTTGTGATCTAATCTACATCGGGCTAGTCTGGGTTCAGGCACTGAGGGGCATGGTGGCTATGGTCTCTGGGGTGGGCATGTTACTATACTGTACTCACCCAGAGGAGAGAAGCCCCGAGCTGGGCTGGTGTCTCGGCTGCTCTCCCTAGAGGTGTCCCTGCTGCAGCCCTGACTCATGCTGGGCCGGGGGATACGGCTCCTCGCTAGCATAGTGGTGGGGGGGGGGGGGTGGGACACACACAGAGAGAGAGAGAGCAGCAGGAAGATGAAATAGCTTTATAACACACAGCCAGGCAGCCCAACACACTCAAAGAGAGAGAGAGAGGCGGAGTAGAGGAGGAGCTGAGTTCGTCGGGACAGAGGAGAGGAAGAGACGTGGTTGCATTCAGTGACAGACAGGAGGTTAGGTGGTGCAGAGAGCAGAGAGGTTGGAGACTCGGAGTACAGCTGTAGAGGGCTGTTTTCTGTCTTCAGTGTGTCTGTGTGTGTGGTCCTCTTCCTGGTCCTTACCCAGGCCTGATCTGTCTGGACTGGTGTCTCGGCTGCAGCCCTGGCTGCGGGGGACTTTAGACCTCCTGTCTGCTGGTGTTGTCCCTCCAGTGGCCCTGGGGATCCTGCCGTATGTATGGCTCAGGAGACGTCCAGGGGAGCCAGAACGACTGCCAGCTGCAACACAACATAGTATGGTGTATTTCTTAAGGGAGAAGAATACATTCCCACACAATGTCGAAAAGGTGGGAAGAATTTCAAACAACTGCTCTAGATCAGTGCTCCTTGATTCTGGTCCTGGGGACCCAAAGAGGTGCACATTTTTTTTTTGCCCTGGCACTACACACCTCATTAAAAGTTTGATGACTTGATTAGTGGAATCAGGTGTGTAATGCAGGGCAAAAACAAATACGTGCACCTCTTTGGGTCCCCAGGACCAGGATTAAGAAACACTGATCTAGAAATATTTGTGTATTTTTTCATTACGGCATGATGCTCATTTTTCTGGGGAAGATACTCACGTTGAGACACTGACACCATTTTGGCTCGACTCCTCCCCCTACTGTCTGTGACAGAGGGACACGCCCCCACGCCGCTCCCTGAACTCGTTCTCCTGGTACGTACACGGCCTGGGATAAAGAGAGAGAGAGAGAAAGAGAGAAAGAGAAAGAGAAAGAGAAAGAGAAAGAGAAAGAGAAAGAGAAAGAGAAAGAGAAAGAGAGAGAAAGAGAGAGAGGTTGGGGAGAAAACAGAGTTAACTTCATGTGGACACAGATCCATTCAACCGCAGACACACCCAGCTTGGCGAAACCAGCCATCATCACCTACAGTCAAAGACTTCATACATAGACCACACAGAAAACAGAGACACACTCGCTAGTCTACACTTGCAGGTTGCTACCAGCCATTTCAACAGACGCATGCACTCAAATCTCTATTAAGCTGGTTCAAGCAAGACATCTCAAGTCCCAAATGGCTCATCCTCTATAAAAAGTGTTTCATCTCAACATATTAATTCACAACAATAGACACAAATACAGAAACATGATTCACAACAAATATATCCCTGTATTCTGTTCTACATAGGAAAAGGAGAGTACAGCACAAAATGAGTTCATGAAATTACAGTTAAACAGCCAATGATAAAGGTCAATAACCTGACAGACACGGAGGCTGCCTGCCTTTATAGTCATGTAAGTTGGACAGATCTATTTGTGGACACAATCAATGTCTCTGTCTCCTCTCTCTGGCTACCAACCCCAGTCCTGATGACCCAGTTCAATCTAGTTCTACCATGCAGACAGTCCATGCAGAGTTCCACAGATGAGCACCGTATTCAATGATGTTGTACACTACACAGACCAAGGACGACCACTGTAAACATGGTGCAGTACATTACACAGACCAAGGGGACAGAGAAATCTGGATGACGTCCTCCAGCTCCACACATCAAGAACAAACACACAGTTAGCCATCTCATCTTACCCTCTGGTCTAACGTTACCAGGTGTGCTGTCTAAGAGCAAAAACAAGAGCAGGAGAGTCCAGGAGAGAGGTTAGCAGAAGTTAGCAGGATAATCCCCATATGGAAGACTGAGGGGGGTTACAAGAAATCAGAAAGGCCCTAAGATGTATTTTAATCATCATATTTTGAGAAAAAAATTAAGAAATTAGGGTTAAATATCCATGCTTTGGTCCTATATCCCTCATAGTCAGCAAAAGTGGCTCATAGAAATAGAATTATATAACTGGGTGGTTCAAGCCCTGAATGCTGATTGGCTGACAGCCGTGGTATATCAGACCGTATACCACGGCTTTGACAAAACATTTATTTTTACTGTTCTAATTACGTTGGTAACCAGTTTATTATAGCAATAAGGCACCTCGGGGGTTTGTGGTATATGAACAATATACCACGGCTAACGGCTGTATCCAGGCACTCCGCGTTGTATCAAGCTTAAGTACAGCCCTTAGCCGTGGTATATTGGCCATATATATATATCACACCCCCTCAGGCCTTATTGCTTAATTAGAACACACACAGAGACAGAGAGAGACAGAGACAGAGAACATATGGTTTGTCTCACCTAGAGAGGCGTAGGAGCCGGGTGGCAGGGCGGAGGCAGCACTGAAGGGGGCGGGAGAGGCGGGCACCGGAGTCATCCTGGTCTTGGCACTAGCGGTGGCGGCAGCGTTCACGTCCACGTCGCTACGGGAACGCTGGAGAGAGCCTGGGGTGGAGGGAGCTCTGGAGGGAGCTGCTTTAGCTTCGGGGAGAGAAGGGAAGGAAAGAGAGGAAGGGAGGAGAGGAAAAGGAGAGGGAGAAGAGAAGAATAATGGTTATAAGCCAAGCTCTCTACCCAAATGTATTTCATAAAGAGAGAGGAAAGAGAAGGCGAGAAAAGAGGGAAAGAAAATAACATGATTAACAAGTCGTAATGTCACGTGCACAAGTACAGTGAAATGCCTTTCTTGCTAACTCTAAACCCAACAATGCAGTGATCAATATCAATGTAGTACTAAAAATAACATAAGTTAGAACAAATACACACAGGAAATAAAAATAAGAAGAACACGAGAATGTAAGAAGCTATATACAGGGTCAGTTCCAGGGTCAGTTCCAATACCATATTTACAATGTGCAAAGATACTGTATAGATTTCATACAGTAGATGTCATGGACGTTGTTGCTGTGCTTGAAAAATCATGATCGACATTAATATGAAAAATATATCTTCTGGTGTCTGATTATATACAGAGCTGTGGATCATTTAAACGATAGATCTGAAATATTTTCTCCAGTGTGACGTAGTAATGTCTGTGGTAGTAATGTCAGTCATGTAATGTCAGTCATGTAATGTCAGTCATGTAATGTCAGTCATGTAATGTCAGTGATGTAATGTCAGTGTCCTTACTCCTGGTCAGGGTGTTTCCCATGGAGCTCTTGGCAGACTGAGGACGGCTGTGGAGACAGACAGAGAGATAGACAGTGGTTAACCTGACCGACTAAGATCAATACTCTTTCATTACGACTACTTCTCATATCACAGACAGACAGAGAGGGAGAGAGAAACGGAGACAGAGAGAGAGAGAATGACAGAGAGTGGGATATGCGTCAACAGCAACCTTGGGAAAATCCTCTGCATTATCATTAACAGCAGACTTGTAGATTTCCTCAGTGAAAACAATGTACTTTGTAATTTTTACCAAATTACCGTACGACAGTCCACGTATTCACCCTGCACACCCTAATTGACAAACAAACAAACCAAAACAAAGGCAAAGTCTTCTCATGCTTTGTTGATTTCAAAAAAGCTTTTGACTCAATTTGGCATGAGGGTCTGCTACACAATTTGATGGAAAGTAGTGTTGGGGGAAAAACAGTTAAAATTGGCAAAAATCCCACACATTTCTTTCCACAGGGCTGTGGGGTGAGACAGGGATGCAGCTTAAGCCCCACCCTCTTCAACATATATATCAACGAATTGGCGAGGGCACTAGAACAGTCTGCAGCACCCGGCCTCACCCTACTAGAATCTGAAGTCAAATGTCTACTGTTTGCTGATGATCTGGTGCTTCTGTTCCCAACCAAGGAGGGCCTACAGCAGCACCTAGATCTTCTGCACAGATTCCGTCAGACCTGGGCCCTGACAGTAAATCTGAGTAAGACAAAAATAATGGTGTTCCAAACAAGTTGCCAGGACCACAAATACAAATTCCATCTAGACACCGTTGCCCTAGAGCACACAAAGAACTATACATACCTCGGCCTAAACATCAGCGCCACAGGTAACTTCCACAAAAATGTGAACGATCTGAGAGACAAGGCAAGAAGGGCCTTCTATGCCATCAAAAGGAACATCAAATTCGACATACCAGTTAGGATCTGGCAAAAAATACTTGAATCCGTTATTGAACCCATTGCCCTTTATGGTTGTGAGGTCTGGGGTCCGCTCACCAACCAAGAATTCACAAAATGGGACAAACACCAAATTGAGACTCTGCATGCAGAATTCTGCAAAAATATCCTCTGTGTACAACGTAAAACACCAAATAATGCTTGCAGAGCAGAATTAGGGCGATACCCGCTAATTATCAAAATCCAGAAAAGAGCCATTAAATTCTACAACCACCTAAAAGGAAGCGATTCCCAAACCTTCCATAACAAAGCCATCACCTACAGAGAGATGAACTTGGAGAAGAGTCCCCTAAGCAAGCTGGTCCTGGGGCTCTGTTCACAAACACAAACATACCCCACAGAGCCCCAGGACAGCAACACAATTAGACCCAACCAAATCATGAGAAAACAAAAAGATAATTACTTGACACATTGGAAAGAATTAACAAAAGAACAGAGCAAACTAGAATGCAATTTGGCCCCAAACAGAGACTACACAGTGGCAGAATACCTGACCACTGTGACTGACCCAAATTAAGGAAATCTTTGACTATGTACAGACTCAGTGAGCATGGCCTTGCTATTGAGAAAGGCCGCCGTAGGCAGACCTCGCTCTCAAGAGAAAACAGGCTATGCGCACACTGCCCACAAAACAAGGTGGAAACTGAGCTGCACTTCCTAACCTCCTGCCAAATGTATGACCATATTAGAGACACATATTTCCCTCAGATTACATAGACCCACAAAGAATTCTAAAACAAATCCAATTTTGATAAACTCCCATATTTATTGGGTGAAATACCACAGTGTTAAATCACAGCAGCAAGATTTGTGACCTGTTACCACAAGAAAAGGGCAACCAGTTAAGAACAAACACCATTGTAAATACAACCCATATTTATTTTCCCATTTGTACTTTAACTATTTGCACATCGTTACAACACTGTATATAGACATAATATGACATTTGAAATGTCTTTATTCTTTTGGAACTTTTGTGTAATGTTTCCTATTCATTTTTTTTGTTCATTTCACTTTTGTTTAGTATCTATTTCACTTACTATGGCAATGTAAACATATGTTTCCCATGCCAATAAAGCCCCTTGAATTGAGAGAGAGAGAGAGAGAGAGAGAGAGAGAGAGAGAGAGAGAGAGAGAGAGAGAGAGAGAGAGAGAGAGAGAGAGAGACAGAGACAGAGACAGAGACAGAGACAGAGACAGAGACAGAGACAGAGACAGAGACAGAGACAGAGACACAGAGAGAGAGAGAGAGAGAGAGAGAGAGAGAGAGAGAGAGAGAGAGAGAGAGAGAGAGAGAGAGAGAGAGAGAGAGAGAGAGAGAGACAGAAGGGGAGAAAGGGTGGAGTGTCTCACTTGAGGCTCTCCTGTGAGGAGGAGGAGGAGCGGTCTGAGGCAGGAAGGGACATTATGCTGTCAGAACTCTTCAGGTGGGACTGGAGAGCCTTCTGATAGGACGACTCTAGAGCCTGGAACAGCTGCTCCGCCTCCCGGCTGAAGTGGCCGTGGAACGTCCAGTAACACCTGCACAAAACAACAGAGAGGACAAAGGCGCAGAAAGAGTGAGATGGAGCAATGTTTCAGGTTGGCAGATATCAAATGTGGAGGAAAAGTTGTTACCATGATAACATGTGATGTTTGTGAACTCCTATTTTCAAATAAAAATATGGTTCATGTATGGCCGACATAGTGTGAGAGTGACTTACTTCCTGGCCACTGATCTGGCCTCGGAGTCTGCATCATGGACTCCTTTCTTGATGGTCTCTGTCAGAACAGCTACATTCCTGAGGGGTCAAACAGAGAAGGAACACCAGCTTCATTCTCTCTGCATGCAGCATCCCTTTACCCCCCTCTCCACCAAAACCACCACAGCATAAAAAGCTACGGTTACATCCCAAATGCCACACTAATCCCTATATAGTGCACTACTTTTGACCAGAGCCCTACGGCACCCTATTCCCTATATAGTGCACTGCTTTTGACCAGAGCCCTACGGCACCCTATTCCCTACATAGTGCACTGCTTTTGACCAGGGCCCATAGGGCTCTGGTCAAAAGTACTGCACTATACAGGGAATAGGGTGCCATTTGGGACGCAATGTAATTCAATGAGAAGGGGACCTGAGAGCTCCCCTGACATCCCAGTCAGAGATTTGGTTTCACCACAATGATGAAGCACAGTGTGCTTTTATGGGATAGATATCCCTCCCTGGCATTGCCATGGAAACTGCGGAGATGAGGAGCGACTCACTGACAACAACATTGTTTCATATTACTGTAAAAATTCACTTGACAGTAGCTAGAAAAAGGTTTACAGTACAGTAGCTAGCTACATCACAGCAATACAATATTAAGTTGTTGAAGAGGAGGGACAATTATAAGTATGAGTTTATAGGCCTGTCTAGTAGCAGCCATTTTAGCGTACCTCTCTAGAGAGTTGGTCTGCCACTCCTGCAGCAAGAGGTCCAAGAACTCAAAACAGCGCCTGGAAATAGAACAATAAGACAGTCAGGGAAAACAGACAGACATTCAGCTAGAGAGCGAATAGGGATAAGTCTTTCTGAGGCTGTTTGTTTGTTTACCTTCTCACGGCCACAGATTTAGACTGGCAGCTGCTGGTCACGATAGGAATGAGACGAGGGTAGTGTGTATGCTGGAAGACAGAGAAAGACCCGTTTTTACTAATTCAGTAACTAGCTGTTCTAAACTCAATAGAAATGTGAGGAACACACAAGGCATCTTTGGAGAACAATCGCAAGCAACCACCAACAATGAATGCCCACATCGGAATGCAGTGGAATGTCATTTGCAGCCCTCGGGAAGAAAATATGTGTGTTTGTGTTCCTAAAAAGAAAGGCTAGCCACTCGACCATTTGGTCTGACTGACACTCAACAACCCAGCTCAATTGAACTAAATTAAATTCACCTCAACTTAATTCAAATGTCAATAACTTTATTGTCCACTCACTCTGATGATGAGTCGTATGACAGCGATGCCGGATGTGGCCATGACCTTGGCCGAGTTAGAGACCAGGGTTAGGAGAGTGGGCATGATGGACTCAGCACAATGGTCAAACCTGTTCCCCAGGATGTAGGACAGGTGGCTGCAGGATAGAGGTACGAAAAAGAGATGGAGACAAGTTATTATGATATCAATAGTATCTTATTTTGTACTGATGGGGCTGTACAATAAAGTGTGGGGGGAAAAAACATTCCTAACACTCTTTGTAATTTCAGTTATTTTATTGCATTGATATTGTATAACGTTATAATAGTATGGCTTTGGTAACATTAAAGAAAGCTTGTTTGATTTGAATTGATACCGTGAGTAAGAGAAAAGGACCAGAGGTCTCCTTACCCCAGAGTGATACAGGCCTCTCTGACCACCTGAGAGCGCAGGTCTTTAGCGGACATCTTAAAGGCTGCCTCCATGAGACGCAGCTGCTGGGAGAAACCATCAAACTCCACCGCTCCTGCCAGGAGCACAGAACGCATCTTCTTCAACTAGAGAGAAGAAGACAACCAAAACCATCAAGCCATTCATCAAAATAACATTTCCAATCAAATGATAGAAGTGGCTGCTTAACAGAACAGTTACTTAATAGTCGTGGCTACATTCCAAAATCCACACTTAGAATGCATGGCCAATACATTGCGTCATTCTAAGTGGTACGCTAGTGTGGATACTGGAATGTAGCCAGTGTGATGAAGTCATCTGGAGGTGGGGGACGATTGGTTGGTAGTCTCTTACCGCAGTGACTCTGTGCTCCCAGTCTCGTTTGTCGTCAGCCAGCACCTCTCTGATCTTGGTCATGGCGTCCTCCATCTCCCTGTTAGAGAAAAGCTGAGAGGAGGAGAGAAGAGGAATCCCTTAGAGGAAGCACATTCCAAATGCGTTTAATATACTACCTGTAACATAGGGCAAGTTTGCCCAAGCGAGAATAGTGTGGAATGATTTTGATATTGTTATGAGAGTGAACACATACTTGCATAGTGGGCACCTCCTCGAAGGCCCGGATGAAGTCCTCCTCATCCACAGCCCCAGCAGCAGAAGCAGCACTAGGACCATCTCTCCCTGATATAAGCAGAAGACCACAAGGTCAAAATTGTTAACTTTACCAGGAAGCTATTCTAGTAGGCTATTATTCACACAAATATTCATCTTGGATTGGCTACAGACTTATGGAGTTAATGCAGGGTATATCACGCTCAATTCTCATTATCCCATGTTTCTATCAAATCTGTGTTCTCTCTGTGTTGTGGTTCCATTACATCATAACATAATCCTCACCATCGGCACTGTTCCAAGGTTACAGATAGACACTAGACAGCTCCACAGTGGCTTATCTCCCATACAAATCCTGGACAGAGGTCATTATTCAGGGCTCTACGCTCAACTTTTTTACATGGAGCACGTATGCGCCTAAGTTGAAAAATGTAGGCGAACACAAATCAATTTAGGAGCACAATGAAAAGTATTTGAGATATTAATTAGAATCATTCATTTTTCTAGGCGCACTGGTGCTCGTAAATAAAAATTCCATGTGCATTTGTGAGTAGAATGGTTGCACTGCAGAGCCCTGTTATTACCCATAGCCAAATAAAGGCTTTTCTAGATAATCCAGACATCATGAAGTCTAAAAAGCATGAACAATGCACTCACACAGATAGACGCACGCACACAGACACACACACACACAATCATTCTTGAGGAAGCAAATGAAAGGCATACTGTGGTAGGAGAAAGAACTAATCCCATTTGACAATGTTAAAATAGTCATGGCTCATCGTTCCATCCCTAATACACTCTCTGCTGGTGCTGGAGTGAACAGGAAGGGGCATCTCACCTGTTGATTTGGTGCTGGAAGCAGAGCTAGGCTTACGGAACGACCCCATGCTCACCGTCTTCTTCCCTGAGGAGGGGCCCTTAGAAGAGGAGGACCGCCCCCCGTCCACCGAATCATCATCATCAAAGTTCTTATCTGGGAGGGAAGGCAAAACAGAGAACTCAAGTTATTTCAACTCTGACACAATTTGAATGCTGACTGTACAAAACAAACAAAGCACGTTTCATATCAGCACCATGTGCTCAATCCCATTCCCTCATACAACAACACATTTCAGCAGCCGCCTACATGACCTTTTGGCATGACCTTCACACACACACATTGGGGGGGGGGGGTCATCAGCGTTCATTCTGTTGGTAATTGTCTAGGTCTGATTCCGGTCACCGGTGGTTGCGCCCACATGCTTTGGAAGTGAAGTGACTACCCCACAAACTGTGGTGTACTGAACATGTGAGTCCTGGTCGGTCGGCCCAGAGGGGGCAGAGTAATCTGCCAGACCAGCAATCAATGAAACAAAACCCTATGCATTATTCAGAGGTCCACACACTGCAGGGCAGCACACCAACACATCACATCAGTTATGTGCCATCTACCTCAGTGTTTCTCTCCTCATTGCAATATTAAAACGACGTACACTGTCAATATCCCAACAAGGTGTCTAATAAACCAGCCTCATTTAAAACCCAGCTCTGAGCATTTCTGTGTCATCAACACCAGTTGTGATAAGGGTAGCTCATTAACACAAAGTACAACAGATACAAAACTCATTGTACCCGTTTTCATCTAGATTAAAGACCATTTTAGTGGAAACAACCATTCAGCAATGAATGTATTAAAATCCAGAAATGGTTAGTGATAGCCTTCAGATTGTCTGAGCCTTCAGTCTTTATAGTGCATACTCTGTTCCCAGCTGTCCTCTCCTGTCTGTCACTACTCAGCTGAAAATGTAAATCTCCCCTAATCTCTCAATCTTCATCTCTTGACATGACCCACATTCCTCCAAGGCGCTCATTAACATGAATACAATGGGCCTCTCCTCTCCCCCCACGTGTCAAGAAGAAAGAGAAGCAGAGCTTACAGGCACAGATCTTCCTGCAGACCAGTTTCCTCAGCATGTCGACAGACAGTCCACTCCAGACCCCCTCCTCACTCCTCACAGTCTCCACAGGTCTCCCAGCTAGCTCCCACGCTGCAGGCAGCTAGCAGTAACGGCTACACGCTCTCCTCCCTGACGCGTGAGCACCCGTGGCTTAGGCTATGGCTGCCCTCCTGCTACACAGTTGACACTCTCTCCCAGTAACACACAAGCGCTTGCTGTGCTGTGATGCTAGGTGCCCCCCCTACTGAGCACAGTGAGCCGGCCCGTAGAGCAGTGATGACAGAGAGAGCAGATGGACAGCTCCACCTCCCACAGGGGGGGAGAGGAGCCAAGGACACACCCTCTCTATCACCATGATATGCCACCAGGCCAGGGAGTGGGAGGAGCCAGACAGAAACTGATGAGCCATGAATTCAATCTTAACAGGTCAGTGAGCCTAGCGCCATCACTGGAGAGTGATGAGAGAGACAAGGTGGAATTTACTCTATCTACAGGCAGGCGGTTATTCTCTGTCTTGAAGATTATTTTCCTTAACAGATGTGGAATTTGTCAGCACAGACAGCACAGCAAAATGGAGGGAAATTCGCAGCTAAAGGATGAGCTGCATGCAAATGTTGGCTTCGAAGCAAGCAGAGAGGGTTTAGGTTCAGATTGCAGTGTTTGCATTGTAAATAAAGACAGTTTTTTCTGGATCAAAATGGGCCTTGGTCGGTGGGCATAGCCATGGGAGTGGCCAAGGGTGAGGTCACAGTCCGAAAAATATAGAAGCTGTTTTAAAGCTAATTTCCTGCAATTCTACAAATGTTGCATTGAAAGTATTCACCCCCCTTGGCATTTTTTCTATTTTGTTGCCTTATAACCTGGAATTAAAATGGATTTTTGGGGGGTTTGTATCATTTGGTTTACACAACATGCCTACCACTTTGAAGATGCAAAATAATTTGTTTTGTGAAACAAACAAGAAATAAGACAAAAATAACTGAAAACTTGAGCGTGCATAACTATTCACCCACCCAAAGTCAATACTTTGTAGAGCCACCTTTTGCAGCAATTACAGCTGCAAGTCTCTTGGGGTATGTCTCTATAAGCTTGGCACATCTAGCCACTGGGATTTTTGCCCATCCTTCAATGCAAAACTGCTCCAGCTCCTTCAAGTTGGATGGGTTCCGCTGGTGTACAGCAATATTTAAGTCATACCACAGATTCTCAATTGGATTGAGGTCTGGGCTTTGACGAGGCCATTCCAAGACATTTAAATGTTTCCACTTAAACCACTCAAGTGTTGCTTTAGCAGTATGCTTAGGGTCATTGTCCTGCTGGAAGGTGAACCTCCATCCCAGTCTCAAATCTCTGGAAACAGGTTTCCCTCAAGAATTGCCCTGTATTTAGCACCATCCATCATTCCTTCAATTCTGATCAGTTTCCCAGTCCCTGCCGATGAAAAACATTACATTTACATTTTAGTCATTTAGCAGACGCTCTTATCCAGAGCGACTTACAGTTAGTGAGTGCATATATTTTCATACTGGCCCCCCGTGGGAAACGAACCCATAACCCTGGCGTTGCAAGCGCCATGCTTTACCAACTGAGCTACAGGGGATCCCTACAGCATGATGATGCTGCCACCACCATGCTTCACTGTGGGGATGGTGTTCTCGGGGTGATGAGAGGTGTTGGCTTTGCGCCAGACATTTTCCTTGATGGCCAAAAAGCTCAATTTTAGTCTCATCATTAAAATGCAAATCAATTTATAACATTTTTGACATGCGTTTTTCTGGATTTTGTTGTTGTTATTCTGTCTCTCACTGTTCAAATAAACCTACCATTAAAATTATAGACTGATCATTTCTTTGTCAGTGGGCAAACATACAAAATCAGCAGGGGATCAAATACTTTTTTCCCTCACTGTACTTTATATCTGGTTTTAGTCGTTTAAGTTTACACTGAAAACGTTCTGTTTGGACATAGGTGGCCAAAGAAACACTTAGGCGGCCCGCACAATCCTTTTCTATACAGATAAAACCATGGACTCTGTGTGAGCAAGGGCAGTACAACTGGTCTGAATGCAAAACATCCTGTTTGGTTAAAGCTACGAAGAAAATCAAATCAAATCCAATTTTATTCGTCACATGCGCCGAATACAACAGTGAAATGCTTACTTACAAGCCCTTAACCAACAATGCAGTTTTAAGAAAGAATACAAAAATAAAATTCACACTAAAAAATACAATATAAAATAATACGAAATAAAAGTAACAAATAATTAAAGAGCAGCAGTAAAAATAACAATAGCGATATACAGGGGGTACCGGTACTGAGGTAATTGAGGTAATATGTACATGTAGGTAGAGTTATTACAGTGACTATGCATAGATAATAAACAGAGAGTAGCTACAGCGTAAAAGAGGGGGGGCAATGCAAATAGTCTGGGTAGCCATTTGATTAGATGTTCAGGACATAGACAACAGTGTTTGCATAGACAATGTTAGACACATAACCTATGGATCCATGAGTGCATCCTAAAAGAAAACAACAAAATCAGCAATGAATCATAAGCACATGAGACCTACTTTATAATGCAGTAATAATCTCATGCAAACCAGACGTTCACTATTTAATCCACTAGATGGCAGTGCACCCTGATAAATGCACCAGTTGTTGTCTGAGAACAGAGCAACAGCTTCAACCTGAAAGAGATACTGTGGAATTCAACCTACAGTACCTCTGAGAACACTCCATTATTCTCTACAGTACCTGAGGACACCAACTATCAACACACAGCTTGCTCTTCCTCTCCACCATCCGATACCTTGAGCACAAACCAGCCATTCTCTCACAGAGAAACTTTCTCACCGGGGAACGAGCTACTCAAGCACTTGACAACATAGGAGCAGCACAATTCAACAGCCCTATTCGGTTTCAAATATTAATGCAATTTCTGCAAGAAAAAAACATACATTTCAGCAGTAATTTCTCACAATCAACTAGACAAATAGGAGTGAAAAGCCAAGCCAGCATCAAAACAATCCTGAATGAATGAATGTTGCACATAACCAATCCCATGCCTACAGGCACTCTCTTCACACTGGTTAGATCTTCATTATTATGAAAGAAAAGCAATGTAAATTAAAATGTCATTAGAAAAATAAAGTTAGTGTGGAAGAGGTGAACAAATTGTTGCTGGCCATTAATAATGAGAAACCACCTGGTATTGACAATTTAGATGGAAAGCTACTGAGGATAGTAGCGGAATATGTTGCAGCTCCTATTTCTCATATCTGAGCTTGGAGAATTTTTTTTTCCCTCAGACCTGGAGGGAAGCTAAAGTCATTCCGCTTCCCAAGAATGGTTAACCACCCTTTTCTGGTTCTAACAGCAGACCAATTTCAGTGCAGCTTTTGATATTATTGACCATCATCTGTTAGCGGAAAAACGTATGTGTTATGGCTTTACACCCTCAGCTTTTGATCAATGATATGGCAATCTATCTAATAGAACACAGAGGGTTTTCTTCAATGGGAGCCTCTCTAATCTAATACATGTAAACTGTGGAATTCCGCAAGGGAGCTGTCTTGGCCTGTTACTGTTTTCTATTTTTACTAATGATTTACCACTAGCCTTAAACAAGCTAGTGAAATCACTGCAACTCTAAACAAAGAGTTGAAGTTAGATTCAGAATGGTTGGCCAGCAATAAACTAGTCCTGAATATATCGAAGACTAAGAGCATAGTATTTCAGAACAAATCATTCCTTAAGCTCTAGATCAGGGGGCTCCAACCTTTTCTAACATGAGAGCTACTTTTAAAAAATGAAACGTCACGAGCTACACATTCTTTTCTAGCTTTCAAATAGGAACATTCTTCTATTTTCCACTCCCCTGCAACTCTTCCCTGTTCCTTACTGTACAAGAGAAAGTAGCGCACTGTTTTCTGTCAATATGCCCATGGGGCAGCGCACAATTGGCCCAGCGTCGTCCAGGGTAGGGGAGGGAATGGCCGGCAGGGATGTAGCTCAGTTGGTAGAGCATGGCGTTTGCAATGCCAGGGTTGTGGGTTCAATTCCCACGGGGGGCCAGTATGAAAAAAAAGAAAAATAATAATAATGTATGCACTCACTAACTGTAAGTCGCTCTGGATAAGAGCGTCTGCTAAATAACTAAAATGTAAAATGTAAATGTAAAATAATGGTTAATAAGCCACTCTTAAGGGGGGCTCTATAAAATATGTGATTTTATTTTTCCTGGTTTTAGATTTCTTTTAGTTTTTCACTCTCAAAAGAAAATAGTTAATAGAGAAACAATGGAATTGGATGTTCTGAGTCAATGTCAATAGTTAAATCCAGTGGTGGAAAAGGTACCCAATAGTCATATTTGAGTAAAAGTAAAGATACCTTAATAGAAAATGACTCAAGTAAAAGTGAAAGTCACCCAGTAAAATACTACTTGAGTAAAAGTCTAAAAGTATTTGGTTTTAAATATACTTAAGTATCAAAAGTAAATGTAATCACTAAAATGTACTTAAGTATCAAAAGTACAAGTATAAATCATTTCAAATTCCTTATATTAAGCAAACCAGACGGCACCATTTTCATGTTGGGCAGACTCCAACATTTAGACATAATTTACAAACGAAGCATGTGTATTTAATGAGTCCACCAGATCAGAGGCAGTAGGGATGTAGGGATGACCAGGGTAAGTGTTCTGTTGATAAGTGTGTTTTTTGGACCATTTTCCTGTGCTGCTAAGCATTCAAAATGTAACGAGTACTTTTGGGTGTCAGGGAAAATGTATGGAGTAAAAAGTACAATATTTTCTTAAGGAATGTAGTGAAGTAAAAGCAAAAGTTGAAAAAATATAAATAATAAATATACCCCAAAAAACTACTTAAGTAGTACTTTAAAGTATTTTTACTTAAGTACTTTACACCACTGGTTACATCACATCAGAAGACAATTGTTTTTAGGTCTGGAAGAAAACTAACAAATATATATTTTTTGAGTAATTCCCTTTAATTGCATATCTAGTGAGTGAGGAATATGCCAGTCTAGTTATGGTTCTGCACTGCTGCTTCTCATTTCATGGAAAAGTTTGA